TTCCCACTACCATAAAATTTGCCTCAAAAATGGACATTGAAAGCAGCTGTTAGGTCCATTTCCGTTACGTGTAGTATATACTTCATCGCTCTTCTGTTGATATTTCTGCACCTGATTTATGTCATTATGGCATATCACATCACAACCACAATTCTCGGACAAGGACGACTTAAAGGGGGTATGCGCCAAAAATTAAAGTTTTAGTGTAAAAAAATCTAAGAATAACTGTTCAAACCTCGTTATTCTACGATAAACCATCGCTGAGATATACCGCTTTAAAGTGTGGACGACGCTCTCGTGACGTCACGAAAACTTCGCCCAGTGGCGCTCTACATTGTTAATTTGATTGTTCCCGGCACGCGTGAGTGGTTTTTGTTTAGATTATTGCAGGTAACACAGGAAAAACATTATGTAAATTTAATTAAATCCACTTTCTCGTGCGTCGCTTGAGCTTTCGTGACGTCATAGGGTGAGATGCGGTACCTTCATAGAGCCATATCTGCGGTATTATTTGTCATAGAGGGGTGCGGATTTCACTGTTATTCTTAGATTTTTTTTCTCTTTTTTTTAAAATGAAGTTGTTTTTTTGGCGCACACCCCCTTTAAGAGACCTAACTTATTCCCCCCTTCAATGCATTGGGGCCGCATTGTCTCGGTCCGTCGCTATTTTCAATGTGTAGTTCAGTCCCTTTTTTAAATTTCTTTACAATTTTTACATATATTCCTACAATTTTACTTTTTACAATGTATGTTTGTCCATTCAGTGGTTCCTTTTTCCTTTGCACTTCAACTGAAAAGTGAGCACAAACTTCTCCTTCAAATTTGGTTCGTTGCTGCTTCTGCCGTACACAAGCAGACCGCTTCACGCAACAGTTTTTTTTTTCCAACGGGCTTGTTGTTCTCTCTTTTCAGTTAGCACAGGCCGAATGCGTTCTGTCAAGATATCATAATAAATTTTCCTGAAATACTTTTGAAGTGCCTATCGACATACCTGAGGCAAGAGTGCCATTCCGAGGTATCTAGAGGAGATTTTTTGCATTTTGTTTCCGTTTGTATTGTCACAACCTCTATACGTTTCGTCCTGGAACTTCACAACAGGAGCGTGACCTGGGGGCGTAGGTGGGGTTCAGGTAGAAACTCGCTTGGTATAGGTATAATAAGATAATATGTATTGAATAATAATAATATTACCCTAGAAATAGTATCATGACGTCTCTTCTACGGAGGGACGTACTACTCATAGGCCACTCTGTAATATGTACACTCTGTACACTTGGCGTGACTGAAGCTGGGTTTGAGACAGGTCCAGAAGAGCGTATCTCATTAAAGGCAGTTTGCACTGGACCTAGTCTGCTGCGTTCAATACTCCCTGAAGGGTCTGGTTTGAGACAGGTCCAGAAGGGCGTTTCCCATTAAAGGTAGTTTGCACTGGGAGGAGACAGCTAGAGGGGCTTTTCCCATTTGAGGTTCTCTGCACTAGCCTAAGTCTGCCAGTAATGGATTTCGGCGCGGTATTTATACCAAATTAATGATGATTCGTCGACACGGTTGAGTAAAATTGATGTACAGAGTGGTATTTACTTATGTAGTTGATATATGCCCCCCTCTGAAAAGCATTGGCCTCCAATGCTTGTAGAAAAGACTTTAAAAATAAAAATAAAAAATGACAAGAAAATACAAACGATAATAGCTATTTATGTACCAAGGGGATTATGTAGATTATAATGCCCGAAGGCGAAACTAGCCCGAGGGCCTATGGCCCGAGGGATATATTTCGCCTGAAGGGCATTATAATCTTGAAATCCCCGTGGTGCATACAATGCTTTATTTTCTACTCAACACAATGTTTTTTCATCAATTTGTTATTAACAAAATCAGTTAAACTTGTGTGACAGAATATTGTTTTGTATTTTGACATGTACCTGTACCTGTGACCTGTACCTGTACCTGCGACCTGTACATAGAAACGAAATAAATTAATATATCTATAAACATCTCATAAGGCAAGGCAACGGTGGTGGTCCTGTGTGTTAACGCGCTGGACTACATGGGAAACATTGATGGTAGACCGGGTTCGAATCCTGGCTAGACCGAAAATTATTTTCGGTCAGAAATTTAGTGGCTGCCTAGGGTAAAGTGCAAATTAATAGAACAACAACAACAAAAACACCTTAAGGTATTATAAGCGGGCGTTATAGATCATAACGCCCGCAAAAGCGGGCGTTATGGATCAGGTTGTTATAGGTGTGTTAACGTATTTCGTTTCCTAGGTATTATGGATCTATAATAGTAAAGTAGAAAATAAAATATAATACAATAAAATACAATAAAAATACAATAAAATAAAACATAATACAAAAGCGAAAGGATTAGGGTTGATACAATTACTAAAGTTTAAATAAATGGATAAAACTGTAGTGCGCCTGGAGATCCCGTCACGGTTTGGGTTTCGCCGTCTAACCCGATGCGTCTTCTTAGTAAAGACAGTATATAGTCCAGGTACCATAACGCTTGTGCTTCCTTGGGGTCAGGTTTTGGTTTGCCAGATATGTCATAGTGTTTGGGGTTTCCTGCTTCCACTGATACTAGTAGATCTTTGGATCACAGATGTCCCTGCTCAATCCGAAGCAATCCCTGATACAGGTTGTCATGGCGTCTTTGGTTTCTTGGCCTCGTTTGTCCTCTGGTCAGATAATGCGATTTGGTGCGTATGAAACAAAAATGATGTGTATAAAATAGTATATTGTTGTATCAGGAGTAGAAGCTTTACTTTTTTGTGCTGAAGCAGTAGGTTTGCGAGCCGAACGTAGTGAGGCTTGCAATACTGCTGAAGCACAAAAAAGTGCTTCTACTCCGTATGCAACACGCTATTTTTTCTCCAAACTAATGGGGTAAGCCCGGGGGCAAGTGAATGGTTGAGCGGCACTAAAAGTACTTTTGCTGCCGCTGGGGTTGCCAAGCAGCATAGAAATTGAACTTCTACCACCTCGACAGGTGTTAACCCGCTGGATTTGCCTGGCAGCATAGAAATCAAATTTCTGACATCTTGACAGGGGTTAACAAAGTGACGTTTTTTTGACGTTTGGAGAAAAATAAAATTATTGAAAATTAAATAAAATTGCCCTTTTGCTCTTCGTCTTTGATTTTAGATTAGTTATATTCCAGTGTTTATTTAGACTACTTAATTCCATGTCTACAGTCGATGCTATTCCTTCCATATACGTTAAACCTTACATCCTACTAAGTATTGTCGGTTCTAAAGGCTCTTCAAGTCAGGGTACTCTGTATGTTAATGGGATTGACCCTTCGTATGAAATTGTATCTGGTAGAAGTTTCCAGGTTTCGCCAGTGGATACTTCTGCCTCCTGGCTTGTGGCGCTATGAGTCAGTAACACCAAAAATCTGGAAGGAAGACAGTTTGATAAATCCTGTTTAAATTTATTTAATACTAAGCTTTGTACAATCCTTACGAATTTTTAAAAATGGTGTTGCCGCCTCTACTCCGCATCGACTTATTAGGATACTGATACTATGGAATGATGTCACATAGTATTGATCTTTTTACGCTGTAACTCAATAAATTTTGAAGATATTCAAATTTTGTTTGCACAGATCAGTTTCGAATGTTGTGAGGAGTCATTTCAAAAACCAAGAAAAAAAAAAGGCAAGTTCCCTAATAACTTGAAGTGGTTATCTAAAATAAATCAGGCCTTCTTGTTTTTACAACTTCCTTTACAAGTATCTACCACAAGCAGAAGTGCAAGGGAGACTAAGGTGGTGACAGAAAATCATCATAGTATCACATCCTGTCTTACAATTACATTTTTTCATGCTTCGCAACTCCTTCCACACAGAAGACAGCTCACTCCATTTTGGAGTCAATTTATTGTTGCTCATCAAGGTCCAGCACCAGTTTTCAGGAGATGGAATCTTTTCTTGAATAGAAAGCAACCTGACCGATATTTGTCCTGCTTGATCAGCTGCCCTTTTGGCTTGTTCCAGAACGCTATCTTGAGACGAAGGAGTTGAACTGAATGGTTGCTCTCCAGAGTAGAAAAGAGATTCTCGATGCTCATTGGCACTAAAAGATGCACTGTTTATGTCGTACATAAATAAGTACAGTACAGTGAATCTTTCTATGCCTTGTGAAACGTTAGCAGGAAAAATATAGCAGCTACTTCTACAGCTCAAATATTCAAATGCTGTGGGGTTCTCTTCTTCTCTCCATGCCTGTTTTTGCTCCTGTTTACAAAAAAAGTTACCGTGTCACAATCGTCCAGGCAATGGGTATTTTTTGCGAGTAAAACATAGTATGGTTTTTAAATTTTGACAGTTTGTTTAAATGGACATAGTGAGTCGGAATCTCATTTTGCAGCAGTTTGAATGTGGGCGGTTTTTTGAAAAAATGACAGTTGTGGTAGAACGCTACTAATACGGCTCAAAGATTTTTTTTTTTTTGATAAAATTCTTTAGGGTATGCTGATTGAACAACCGCACCACAGCCCTATTCTATCTTATATAGTTAACGCCCTAGAGCGCCTCAAAGTAAGGGGTGTCACCTTGAAATACACCTTGTTGCCCCATTTTACGTTTCGTACGTCAGAAAAAGAATGGATTATATAATTTCAATTATTCAAAAACTATCTAAATCTTGAATAATTTTGCCATAAGTGCGTTTTCTGAGCGGTCCGATAACTTCAAAATTACATTACGATTTTACGAATTATAAAATTCAACAAAACTTGCTAAGTGAAAAATTAAATACTTTGAAATTAAAAAAAAAAATCTATAATAGAATTTGCTATAAATGCGACCAAGCGCGATAATCCCAGAAGGCTTATCACTTATTTAGCCTCTCGTGTCATATGGGTACAATGTACAGTGAGTTGTATAATCGTAGTAACTCCGCAGCCGTCAGCTCTCCGTCTATTATATCTCAGTATCCCCTTTCAGCTGTCACCGGAATAGTTTATTTTACCCCAGGAAGAAAGCATCCAATTATGATCGTGGATAATTTTGAATATAGATTACAATACCGCACCAATACTAAAAGTATCTGGAGATGCACGCATGCTCGTGGCAGTTATTTATGCAAAGCTAAGTTAATGTCATTTGGTAAAACGATCCGGATCAAATCAGTGGCACATAGCCATGGACCGACTTTTCATGGCGATCATCGTGCATTGAAGTCTCAATCGGTTATTATGGAGTTTGGTGTCTTCAAAGGCCTTTCTACGGCTCATAAGAAATAATTGTTATGCCATGTTTAAAAACTGGAATTTTCGGGAAGCGGTCTTAAAAAAAAAAAAACAAATTGTCTTTAAATCAATATTTCGTTAATATATTTTTTGATCATCACGAATTTTAAAACACTTATTTGTTTAGACAATGTAGACCATTCAGGTCTTTATACACCAAATGACAGGTAAAAAATACCTGAAAAAAAACGGCTTCATTTTCCAACTCCATGTTCCTACTCCTCCCGAAATTACCTGCTCTAAGGAAGTTGTAATTTTTTCGTTACTAAGGTATTTATTATTGCTACTAAGTTATTTTATTATCACTAATTAGGTTTTTATTGCAGATTATGTATCAGAAACAGCTAGCATGAATGTTCTCGTAAAATGGTGTGATGGTACTGAAAATATTGTTTTGTCAAGTCAGATTCAGCTCGTTAATAAATCTGAGTCGTTTGAAAAAGGAGCCAAAATAAAAATGTACTGGAAACCAGAAAAACAGTGGTACTTTGGTGTAGTGATCGAAATCGAAAAAGACAGTTTGTCTAGCAGTGATAGTGAATCCAAACTTTCCTTAAAAATTCTACGTAAGAATTCAGATAATAGCAGTGATGACGATATCCCTCTTCAGCTTATAAAGCAAGAACTTGCTATAACAGCGGTTTGCCAAAATTTTACTGAAGTGATGAATAAGACAGATTTGAGTAATACATCCAATATTATCGAGGTAGATCAAAGGAATAATGTGCTGAGTTTTCGAGTTGATCAGTGGGAAGCTAGTACCAGTGCGAACCTCGACGTAAGTGGTCAGGAAAAATTGATGTCGTCTCATTCTAATAATTCGTCTGACTTTGAACCGAATTCGGATGAAGTTCCAACATGTGTTCAAACATGTGAATTAAATTTTTGCCAGGAAGAAGTTTGGAGTGCTTGTCCAAATTGTTCAAAGTTATTGTGCTGGGATCATGTTGTGCTGGAGTCTTGCGACTGTAAAGGCGTAGTACCGAACTTAGGCGCTCCGAAAAAAGTTGTCGATATTCCCATAAACTACACTGTGGAAGGAAATCCTAGTGGAAATGAAACAGGTTTAGTTTTGAAGAAAAAGGAAAACACAAAAAAAACTGCTACAGAGATGCGAAATTTGGGCAACGTTAGTTACAAAAGTAGAAAAATAATGCCGGCAAGGAAAGTTTTGGGAGCAAGATGTAATGGTACTACTTGCTTTAAAATGGGGAAAAAATGTGCGCTTTTGAGAGAAGAGGAACGGACAAACATACTAAATGATTTTTACGGTACTGCCTCTACACAGCTGAAAAGAGAATACATTGCTCGTTTCGTAAAACGTATGGATACCAAGCGAAAAACAAAAAATGACCAAGCATCAAGACGCCATAATAGCTATTTATACAATAAGTTACGAAATGAGCGTCTTTTAGGCACGCGACGTGAAAATTGTCCAACGAGGCAAAGCCGAGTTGGACAACACGTCGAGTGACTAAAAGACATCGTTTCGTAACGTATTGTATACAAGATTTTTTCTACTGGCATTTTATAATAAAAAAACACAATTTTATTTCATGTGAATAAGTCGATTACACCCAAAATCTTTGTTACCTGCTTTTACTTGACACCTGACACTTTTGATGCGATTTTCTTTCCAAAATTCGACATCAATAATTAAAATCCTAGAAAGTAGGTAATAACACAAAGTTCTGTTTTGAGTAACCCAAACGTTCAATTCAGTAATTCCATTTTCAATATTCATAATAAAAACAAAACAAAATTCAAATATGTGTTTAGTGTGTTTTTTATTTCTGAATAATGAATGACACTTTTAGGCACTAGTGCTCAAAAATTACTTTTACGCACTCATAAGTCACTTTTACGCACTCAAAAGTCACTTTTACGCACTGAGTGCTTAAAAGTAACTTTCACGCACTCAGTGCCTAAAAGAATGTCGTTTCAAAACTGAAATGACAATCGAAAAGTTGCTATTATGAAACGTCAGTAGAAAAAAGTAATTTTTATTATCTGCCAAAACTTGATTCCAAAATTCCTGTATGTAAAAAAATGTTCTTGAATACTTTAGGCATTTCAGAGAAGGTAATGCGCACTACTTTAGCTAACGTAATAGGCAAACAGCAGTTGTTGAGAAAGATCGAAGGGGAGGCAGACCAGTAGACCTAAAAAACAAGGACGAAACAATAAAATTAAATATTGGAACACATAAAACAATTTCCGAGAATGGAGTCGCACTACTGCAGACATAGTTCTGCCCATGAATACTTGTATGCAGACCTTACTGTCAAGAAAATGTACGACATGTTTATCAATAAACAAGGAAATGGAAAAAATAACCAGATTAACTAGTCCCTACTCCTTTTACCTTAATGTGTTTGGAAGTTTAGGATTATCTGTTTACCATTCTAAAAAGGAACACTGTGCTATGCCTTGCATATAGACAGGGTACCATTGGAAAAAAGGCAGAACTAGAAGAAAGTTATCGACAACACATAGCAGAAAAAGAACGTGCCCGTGAAATGGAAATGAAGAGAAAGCCGATCCTGATAGCTCAAAAATATGCGCTGTTTTAGATTTATAGCAGGTCATTTTTATATCAATTGCTAATGAAAGCAAACTATTTTATCGGCGATGACTAGCAAACTATAACTTAGATAACTATGATAACTATCTATGAAGTTAAATCAAAACAATGTCACTGTTTTTTATGGAATGAAGGCCTGAGTAAATGTGATTCGTGTGGAATTTGGACATGCTTCTACTTATACCTGAAACAACTTGACACCGAAGGTATAACTACTAGGGGCAATCTTGTATAACAAGATACCTATTAGCCAATGTCAATTAAATCAAAATAAGTTCCAATGTTTTATTAAAAATATTTTATTGAAAAATATTATACAGTGAAGGAGTTTCTAAACTTCACGCAGTGGAAGATATGAATGACTATTTTATAAAAATTGTACCTAGTAATATACTCTTTAATTAATCTTATGCTTATTGTTAAATATATAATTACTTATAATGTCGTGTTTTTGTTCCTCGCGCTTTTATCCAGTCGCATTTTTGTTCCTCGTGCTTTTCGTATCGCGCTTTTCTCCCTCGCGCAAACGGTTGTCGCGAAAATGGCACGGAGCCGCTGACGACACGTTTTTGTTTTACATATATACAGTATGTTTCAAAAATGTGGGAACGGTCAAATTAGTCCAAGAGCCAGCGCCAAAAAAGTGCAAGAGTTTCATGAAAGCTGAAAATGTAATATAAGTTTGTATTTGTGATGTATATAACTATACTCGAGTCAGCAAGTGAGGTAGCGGGACAAGCTACGCCCACGCACCTTTGAATGTGTAAAAAAATAATCGCGATGAAAGAGTTTCATGACAGCTGAAAATTTCTCAATCCATTGTTTATTTGATAAAAAACATGACGGACATGGTCAGATAGCATTATGTTAGGACAACTAGAGTCAGCATGCCTATACAGGGTGGTCCATTTAACTTGAGACAGTCTAATATCTCGAAAACAGTACGTTTTTGAAAAAAAAAGTTCAAATAAAAGTTACATGGTATCATGTGGGAAACAAAATGGCGGTACTGATTTTTGACTTTGACAACGTTTTCAAGGTTATTTCAAGGTCAACTCTTTTTTTTCAATGGAAATATATTTTTTTATTACAGAATCTTATTCTACAGAAAAAAACAAGTAACTTTTACTTGAAGCATTTTTCGATCCGGTTTCAATTTAAGCTGATAAAAAAGAACGAATAATTTTTTTTTCGAAAAGTAGAGAAAGGTTACCAAAAATACCTCAAAAAATATAACAATTGATCAAATTGACGACCGCCAACTTCAACACACTTGTTAATTCGCTGTAAAAAGCTTTCATGGCACCAAATTACAGTTTCTTTACTGACAGCTCTAAGCATTTCTTATGTGTCCCATCATATTATCCGGTGTTGCGGGAACCTCTTGATAAACTGTGTGTTTGATTTTTAAAGTGAATTGACAAGTGTGTTGAAGTTGGCGATCGTTATTTTGATCAATTGTTATAGTGTTTGAGGTATTTTTGGTAACCTTTCTCTACTGTTCGATTTTGTGAGGAGAAAATAAAAAAATTATTCGTTCTTTTTTATCAGCTTAAATTGAAACCGGATCGAAAAATGCTTCAAGTAAAAGTTACTTGGTTTTTTTTCTGTAGAATAAGATTCTGTAATAAAAAAATATATTTCCCTTGAAAAAAAATAGTTGACCTTGAAATAACCTTGAAAACGTTGTCAAAGTCAAAAATCAGTACCGCCATTTTGTTTCCCACATGATACCATGTAACTTTTATTTGAACTTTTTTTTTTCAAAAACGCACCGTTTTCGAGATATTAGACTGTCTCAAGTTAAATGGACCACCCTGTATAGGCATGCTGACTCTAGTTGTCCTAACATAATGCTATCTGACCATGTGCGTCATGTTTTTTATCAAATAAACAATGGATTGAGAGATTTTCAGCTGTCATGAAACTCTTTCATCGCGATTATTTTTTTACACATTCAAAGGTGCGTGAGCGTAGCTTGTCCCGCTACCTGACTTGCTGACTCGAGTATAGTTATATACATCACAAATACAAGCTTATATTACATTTTCAGCTTTCATGAAACTCTTGCACTTTTTTGGCGCTGGCTCTCCGACTAAATAGTTCCAGAGCGGCTTGAAATAGAATTACGAAATTTTCTGCAGAGGAGTAATTATTAATGCCCGATTCAATTTCGTAATTATAATTTTGAGCCGTTATGGAAATTATTTTACCATTGCCACACCTTTGAACAAAAAAGCTGTGTTGCCATGTTCCAGAAACCGCGTAAAATAAGGATATGATATATGGAGGTTTCACTGACAATAATAGTGTCACAACCCCTATACGTTTCGTTCTGAGACGTCACAACAGGAGCGTGACCTGGGGGCGTAGGTAGGGTTCAGGTAGAGAGAAATTCGCTTGGTATAGGAACAATAAGATATGTATTGAATATATAGAATAATATTATCCTAGGAATAGTACCATGACGTCTCTTCTACGAAGGGACGTACTACTCAGGCCACTCTGTATTATTTACACTCTGTACACTTGGCATGACTGAAGACTGAAGCTGGGTTTGAAACAGGTCCAGAAGGGCGTTTCCCAATAAAGGTAGTTTGCACTGGACCAAGTCTGCTGCGTTTAATACTCCCAGAAGGGCGTTTCCCATTAAAGGTAGTTTGCACTGGGAGAAGACTTAGCTAAAGGGGCTTTTCTCGATTGAGGTACTTTGCACCAGCCTTAGCCTGCCGGTAATGGATTTCGGCGCGGTATTTATATCAAATTAATGCTGACTCGTCGAAACACTAGTAAAAATCATGTACAGAGTGGTATTTACTAAGTAGTGGACTTATGCCCCCCCTCTGAAAAGCATTGGCATGCTTGTAGAAGAGACATCAAAAATGAAAATAAAAAATGACAAGATACCTAAGAGAATTAGAATACAATAAAATACAATACAATACAAGTAATACAAAATAATACAATAAAATACACACAATAAAATAAAATACAATACCGGGTGTCCCAGGGGAAACAGTCCACCCCGATTTATTGGGTTTGGGATGAGAATCTGGGAAAACGCTCGGACATGTCGATGTTTGATTTAAGGGGGAACTATTTTTCAGTTTTTTTCATCCCCGTAGTTTCAACCCCCTAGCTAGGGGGAGAACAACCCCCCAAATTTAAATAGGGGATAGGGGTCAGCCATACCTCTTTTTAAAATTCTCATCGAGTTCTTTATGCTCCTAGAATTTCGTCTCATTATTTTCATCCCTAACGAAATGACAGCTTGTCAAAATCTTGGAAATAGACTATTAGTTTTAGTGAGAGCAAAAGCGATACTCACCTCCCTTAATAAAAATACTTGAAATGAAGTTTTTTCCTATTATTATTAATGAGGTGTACACGAGAATTGTAAATTGTAGGTATTTTTACTCGTATTTTTATTAAGGGAGATAAGTACCGCTTTTACTCCTACTAAAACATAGTCCATTTCCAAGATTTTGATAAGTTGTCATTTCGTAATGGATGAAAATAATAAGATGAAATTCTAGGGCCGTAAAGAACTTGATGAGACCTTTAAAAAGAGGTATGACACGACCTCTATCCCCTATTCAAATTTGGGGGGTTGTTCTCCCCCTAGCTAGGGGGTTGAAGCTACGGGAATGAAAAAAACTGAAAAATAGTTCCCCCTTAAATCAAACA